CCCACCCCTCACCTCACTCCCCCCATCTCACTCACCCCCTCATCTCATTCTTATCCCCATCCCTCACTCTGGCCCCCATCCCTTCCATTGAACTGAAAAAAAAGCGCAAGGGGCTGAAATTCAGTGTTGGGCAGTGCCCGGTACCACAAATAAAGCCAAGATGCCACTGTCTCTAACCACCCTCCCTCCCCCAACAACCTCCCAAGCAGCCCAGAGGGGTCAGGGGCTTACATTAACTCTGATTAACTTTTTGACGCCAAATAACCAACAGAATCTGCAAATACCTAGCTGTAGGTTTCCAGTGAGCGTTTGTCAATGTCTGCATTTTTGGTTGTTGTAGATATTTTTAATTTTCATATCCAAATATCCAATAGCCTGTTAATGTGGTCAACTTCACAATCAGTTTGGTGTCTGGGGTGGGGTTGGGTTGGTGTATGGGATCGGGATCGGGTTGGGTTGGTATCTGGGATCGGGTTGGGTTTTAGCTGGCTGAGGAGCTAACAAAAATGGAGAGTAACTGGTTTCTATTGTGTTTTCCAGACTGGCAGAAAACAGAAGCTCAGAAAAGACGTGAGCAGCTCTTACTAGATGAACTAGTTATTCTGGTTAACAAACGGGACGCACTTGTCCGAGATTTAGATGCACAGGAAAAACAGTAAGTTACTGAATAAAAAAAGTTACTTGGTGGGAATGAAAACCAATCCTTTCACCTGTGCATTATCTTCCAACTTTCCTGGTTGAATGTATTCAGTATCCAATCCTGTCCAATCTAGTTCTAGTTTTTGAATGTTGTGTTGATTAATTGCAGTCTTTAAGAGTCAGGTCTCTTGGTGCTGCCTCAGTTACTGATGAAGCCTCTTTGTGTGTTCCAGGGCGGAAGAAGAAGATGAACATTTGGAACGAACGCTCGAACAAAACAAAGGGAAAATTGTAAAGAAAGAAGATAAGTGTCTCCTTCAGTGAGAGAGATGCACAGAAGATCTCCCATCATTTACAACACACTTTCACTCTCATTTTAATAAACTATGTGATGGATTTGAATGATATCATGTTCTATGTAGATCGTAAACTGTTGTAATTTTTTTCTGTTCAGAGCATTTAATCGTCCCAAGGCCGCAGGTCCGTGTATATGGCTGCATCTGTCGTTTTTATGAAATTGTATTTTGTAAAAAAAAAAGCCGCGTGTAATTGTTTTATTTGTAACGGTGACATTTAATGTTTTATCAGTTACATTTGGGAAGAATTCTCTCTTCATTAACGAGGATAGGAAAAACACCAAATAGTTGCGAAATGTAGCAGGACAGTTCCTAATTGTTTCTTATTAACACTGACACGGCTTTCTGTGTATTGCACTGATCTGCCTCAAATGGATGTTGGATCAGATTTGATACTGTGACCGGGGAGGCTGTTGGTGGTGCTTTACAGAAACTACGGAGCTCCAGCCTCCGGGTGCACTTTTGAATAAATTAATCGCCATCAGTTGTCAAAAAGTGAAACATCTTCAAGAAACAATCTCTAAACTTCGGAATGTTTGAGCTTGCTAGTCGCTGCATTTTCAATATCTAGGTTCATTTCCATTGAATATTGGAACGTTTCATTGGAGCTGTAAAGTCCGTTTTTTATATAAATAGTTGGCTTTTACAGAGCGGCCATGTTGTAAATGATATTATCTGAAGTTAGTTTTAGTTTAAACTCAGAAAAGGGCTGATGACCTTGCACCAGGTTGGTGCGGTCGGTTCGTTCTCTGTGTTTTCTACATTGTCTATTTATTACCCTGAACAGCGCGAGCTGCTTGTTTATGCTCCAGGTATTTTGCTGAAACGTTTTTGTTTGGCTCGAAAATGCTTGTTGTTTGTCTTCCGAAAGCAAAAGCAGTTCTCTGGAAGATCGGAATCATTTTCAATACATTTCTCTGCACCAACCTGCCGTCAATAAAACTGCTGCTTGAGGGAAGAAATATTTCTGTTTATTTATTCCAGGACCATCTCTGAATCTTGAATAAAAAGTGAACTTTGAAGCGTTTTATGTGGACAGAATCTGTTGTTGATGCTTTACCCTAATCATGTTCATACAGACTTGCGACTTCTAAATTTGAGAGTTATTTACACAAATGACTTCTATTGGGGAGCGATTTACTTTAAATTGGAATTATTTAATGCATAAATAAAAGTTTTCCTTCGCTACAACCAAACCGGTTTAAGTTTTTTAACGATTGCACATCAGCAATTCCATCCTGGTCGGTAAAAGCTCCATGTCCAGCCTGAAGCAGGCACACAGCAAGTCTGGAAAGATGCTAATAAAGCGTCTCCTGCGGTCAAGGACTACAGCAGTTTTCCCGGGAACTCCTCCCGACAGTCAGAAATCAAAATCGAAAATCCAAATCTTTGTTCAAAATCCCAACCAAAACCCCGAGGTTAATTTTTAGCTGCACCTGGCTGGGTTTCTCCCCCTTTCCTGTTTTTTTTCATTCCCTGTCCTGCAGCTTCCTCACGTGCGGGGCCATCTGCAGTGACTGTACTCTAATGTTTTACTTTCTGCAATAGCCACCGATTGCAGTAATTTCAATCGACTTTTTTAAAATATTGCACTAACATCGACACCTTTCAAGCAATTAAACAGATTATGTGTTTTTGTAATGAGCTAATAAATATTCGAAGCTGAACTGAACAGCTCGATCAACGGCTGATATTCCCCTTTCTATAAACGTTTCTAAATCAACTTGATGTCTCTCATTCTCAAACCCTGCAGCTGTCAACCAGGAAACGCACCAGGCACCAAGCTAAGGTTTAAAGTGCGCATCTTGAGGTTGTTCCGCGGTGTCACAGAAATGCTGAAAGGACATTTCTGTTTAAGACTCTTTCCTAAAACAATCTGATAGGATACATTTCTTACCCTACGCCAATCACATCAACTAGAGCTTGTAGCCGTTAGGAGCTGAACTCCCTTTGCACATTCCAATTATTACACTGTTCCTTTCGGTTTCATCGGCGCAAAACATTTCGGATTTTCTGTGGTGTGTAACTTTGAAATGATTTTTCTGTGAAGTGATTGCAGCAAAGGTGAAACCAGCTGCCGGCCACAAACTTTGTAACATCGCAAATCAATGTTTTCAACTCGAGAAGCAAATCTTTTAAAATCTCTTATCTGAACCCCATCACTGATTGTTTTTTAGCTCATTTTGAGACCATGTCGCACATTAACATCCTTCCCGCGGCTAGTGTGGACGGTATCTTTTTAATTTCGGTTAGTGGAGACTATTAATTACTTTGGAGGGAGATTAGGAGAACGAAGAAACAATTTTACAGACACAATCTGTTTAGATGCAGAGCTTTTAGTCAGAATTTAATGAATGAGGAATTTCTGTTGTGACACCATTCGAGCCGCCGCCTTCAGAACCTGTAACACTTAACACATCCCGGCGACTTTCAGATTCATTTGCTGATATGTTCAGTTTGTGTCTAGTTTTCCAGGACAGCTCTGGCCCATCGCTAGCATTTCTTTACACTCTGTCACCTCAATCTGTCCAAAAGCAGGCTTTTGGGGACTATCGAAAATCAAACAATCTGCATTGGCACCATTTAGTATCGGTATCACATCAGACGCAGACCTGCAGAAAGTCTAACCTTCAGCTAAAAGGATGTCCACGCCTCGTGCCAAATATGTCTGAACCAAAATACGAATTTTATTCTGTTAAAAGTGCACAGACTGAACTGAGCTGTCAGCAAATGTAATGCGGTCCGTAACATAGGCATGATCTCGGCCACAATAGGCGCTAATTATTCAAACTTCCAATTGCACCGTGAGCGCTGGAAAATTCCTAAATCATTCCTAAATTCCTATCTATCATTCCTACACCGCCTGGAATTTAACAATTATTTACAGTTAATAGTTGTCATGTTCTCCGCTCTTACCTGTTTACTCCTCACCGCCCACAGTAAGCAGCAGATTTGACAAACTCTCTGAAAGGGCTAACACGAAGCTGGGAGCTGCAATTTGAAAACTTTTCAGTGCTTCACCTGGTGAATGAGGAGTTGATGAAGGGATTTAGTGGCAATCGAGACTGGAGCAGTCTCTTGTGAATTTTACATTTGGCCTCTTTGATGTATTTAAATACGGCTGCAGGTGATGATCACTGGGATTTCAATCCCCCCCTTTTCCACCGAGCCAGTTACACAATCCCAGATATGATTCCCATCCCTGTGTAAAGCAAATTAAACCAAGTGTGGCCGTTATAATCGGCCCGCCGTGCCGCTCCAATGCCACGTTATACCACATTCTTAGTTTTGTTTGTATCAAATCTTCCGCAATCTTTGACTTTTACCTTTTGATGCAACAACGCATATCTCTCTCTCTCTCTGTCTCTGTCTCTGCCTCCCCCCTGCCCCAACCCAAGGTTTCAGACTCGGCTTTAAGAAAATTCGCCTGCAATTTCGGATTAGACAAATACTCTTCTTACAAAGGTTAGTGCTACTTGATACCATAATACTTAACACAGGCTTGATCAGCGCATCTTAAACAGAGACTTCACACAATAAAAACAATCGGTAAATCCCTGGGATTGCTCTAGAAGTAAACTCGATTGTGTTTCATCAGCCAAATTAGCAGGATGTTTTGTTTCCTTAATGCTGGTTAAAAGCCAGGATTTTTAAAATGTATATCTTTTAAGTATGATTCAAACAGAGCAGTACAACCGAAGGTTTATGTACAGAGCAGTTCAATCCCAGCTGAGAATATGGTTAGTCCAAATAGTATAACAGAAAGGTAGAAAGTATAGCTCAGTTATCAACAACTGAACAATAGGAAACTGTCCGAAACTGTGCAAGCGGTGTACAGAATGAATTAACAATGTTCATGTGAGGTACGATCTTATATTTTTTCCGAAGGCATTAGCTTTTTTTTTTACGTTTAGCAAATACTGATGTTAATCCCGAACAATTTCTAATTATTTCGAACGGTTGGTTGCGTCTTTCTTGCTCATGGTAACGAGATCTTATTATTATCATGGAAATGGCCTGCCTCGGTGCAAAATTATGTTCCTTGAAGGTTTCACTTCTCAAACACAAGCGAAAAAGAAACCAAAACAAAAAAAAAACTTCCAGCAAAGTGCATTATTTGGTAAGTTGGGATTGAATTGACCGCTGGTTCTTTTGTCAGAAACGGTGCTCGTGTCGATGACTTTAGTGAACTATTGGGAAAGTCTTGTAAAACCTTCCTTTGATGAGGTGCTCCGTAAAGGAAAAAATGTAATTTCGTCTTCTGGCGGTTGGTTTCTTTGAACATTAGCTCGCTTTCAGCTCCCGCATCAATTAGAATGAGTTGATTTTCTGTGAACAACAAAAGAGTGACCAAAGCCTTATTAAGGTCTTCAGAAGAACTCACCGAGCCTTTCAAAACCAGTTAAGGAAACCCTGTGCTCCTCCATGATATTCTGTTACCGTATGTTATTTGTTCACCAAAGAAAAGTGACGCTTGAAAAGTGGTTTCTTTGATAACCAGCAGCCGACAGTCCTTCTCGAATTCATTTATTTCCCGCGTCGGCGTATTTTTTCTTTAGAAATTTCGATTAAAGGCAGTCTGTCCCATTAAAGTTTACGCTGACTATCCCGAAATGTAAAACTAAATGGGGATTAGGCCGTCATCAATATTCATGAGAACGTACAATTTCAAACACAAAAAAACTCGACATTTTTAGGAGTAATTATTTTAAAAGTACGACTTGAAAATTCAACCATATTAAAAGTCCGTCCCTTGTTATTTGCTGGAGAGGCCCGAAAGAGAGAGATCTCCTGGTTAAAACATTCGTTTACTTTAAATTAAGTTTAACATATCCTCAACTGAAACCTTTACAGAACATTGGGAGAGTCCAGTTGATTTCTCAATAGAGGTGGATACATTTCCTTTATTTCATGTATTTGTCACAGGGAACTCGTAACGAAAATGATGTGGCCAGCCCGGTTTATTTTCTCGCAAGTCAGTGTCTCGTTGTATAATAATTCTGTATATTTCACCAGGGTGGGAAATAGATACTGAATAGGTGCCAGTTACACTGATGAGAGGTGAGAGAAAACCGAGTTTATGAATGTTCTCTGAACTGTTTAGTCTCACAACAACCTGCTAGCTGTATTGCGTGAATCTCCACAGCAATAATTACCTGCTGTAATTAACTAGTGGCCGCTCGGGTTTCTTAATGAATAACTTTGCAGCTTGTACAGAAATATGTAGCTGACAGATTGTGACTGACTACTTCCAGAGGAGCTTTTTACCAAAGGATGGGCAAGTGTATTCCTCCTCTGGGAAAGTAGTGCTCCGGCGTCACCTGGAGACGAGCTGTCAATCATGAGTAATTCGCTGGGTGATTGGTGAAGGGCGGATCATTGTCGGGCAGTTCCGCTAGAGCAGCGCTCACTTAGAGAAGGCTGCAGCAACTGGAGCGCAGTGATCAATTCTCCATTGAGTCAGGTACAAACAAACACGCAACAACCTACAACTTTCGCTTCCCCAGCCTCTTGGCTCGCAGCAAGTTTCTTACTTTGCTGCTTGTTTCGTTTCTGGGGTGGGTTTGTTTTGGGAAGGGGGTGGTGGGTGTTTTAATTCAGTCCCACCCGCTCCAACCTAACCTTGTGTCACGTTGTGTTGCAGAATAGATAGCAGGCTCCTGCTTGCATTTTACTGAGTTCCTGACTCCAGGCCTGGTCTAAAATATTCTCAGGTGAGTGTGAGACTTCGCGGTATTTATTCATGGGGAAAAAAAATCTCAACGAATTAATGTGAGGCCAAGGAGGTTTTTGTTTGAAGGGACTAGTTTGAAAACGACCTTCAGAATGTGAACTAACTTGTGACTGTTAAAGTATAGCTCCTTTATGGTTAATCTTGAATTTGTTTTTTTTTTCCTTCTTCTTGTATTTGTGTTAACCAATTCAATTTTGTAACTGACCTGACTCCTCCTAAAGTACTTGGATCGTTTAATTTGTTTCATTTTCTCACTGAAAATTACAATTGCAGCGTCCAAGGGCCGATTGAAAAGCTTGAATCCACTTTAGCGGCTAATTGGAGAGGCGTGTTTTTCGTTTTTTGTTCATTTATTTTGCTGATAAGGTTCCTCTTTAAATTGTGTCCCCCGAGGTCTAATCTAAATTGTAATTGACTTAATTTGCACACAGCTATCGCCTTTTAAATGAGAGTGCGGTTTTATCTGGGTCCTGTGGAGGTGAAAACTTGGTTTAGGAAACTGTTGATTGAGAATGCTGTAATTTTGACTGCTGGTTAATTTTTTTTTCAGTAAGTGCTCTGATGTTATCGTCGCCGTATGGAGGACAACTTTCATTAAAATGTCATCATTGAATATTCAGGGTCGATCTAATTGTTTTTTTTAAATTGGCGGTTGCTTTTTCTTTTGAAAGGAGGCCGTAGTATTTCCCTTTGGTTTAGCAGATTGTGAGATAGTTACCTGTTTTCTAAAGTCCTTCAGTGTCAGGCGATGGAAACGAGTTTAATGAAACTTGAACCGAAAAAATTATCACTTTTTTTTGTTTTCGAGTCTGTTTGACATTCTTTTGGGGGGGGAATTTTCCCGGGGACACAGTATAAACTACAGGAGATTTTTTTCAAACTAAGGCTGATGTTTCGAAGGTCGGTTTGAAAACTTAAAGGTTTAAATGTATTTTAATGAGGGCAGACTCCTTACAACCTCTTTGACCATCAGCCTAAATCTCTCTACTGTCCAGTTAATTTAAACGGTAAAGTAAAGCTTCAGTTAAACACGTGTGATTTCAAAAGACTTTTTTTTTGTTTTGGAGATGGGTGTAATGTTTTTACATCTGTCTGTAGTAAACGGAAAATTGAAGTCCCTGCAATGAGCGCGATTAAATATCGTGCGCCTGTAGTTCTCTCTCATTAGCTCATCAAGACACGGTGACTGTCAATTGTTCATCACAGAAATGATTGTCTTTATCGTCAGTCTTCCGCCGGCTTCAATCATGGACAACATTTCACTTCCAAACAAGTTGTGTGGCGTTGGCTGTAATGTTAGGCCTTTCGCACGCTTGCGTTCCAGTAAAATGATCTAAATGTTAAGACTTTTAAAACTGAGCGAGTGTTGATGAGTTCTGACAGTCCCTCGGCAGAGAAATAGTGGCCCGAAAGCTCTTTAACTTTGGTTAGAAAGCCGAGATTTGTTTTTCTTGTAAAATCGCGTAAGTTTTCCTTTCGCCTAGAATGTGAGTACCGCGCGATTTCAGTCATTTTTTTGTGTGGATCTTGTTGACCAGAAGTTTTAATTTGGAGAAAAATACAGCGAACCGATCGGGCCACTTTTAAATTCCCTGATCTTGACAATTTCCACACTTTGTTTAACAATAAACTAGTGGATCTCTCTCTGGTCCACATTATCCTGTTCGATTTGAGGCTTCGGCCAACTTCAAGAAAAGGCTGAAATGGAACCATTTTGTAAATTTCTGGGTTTGCTTTTTCGAAAAAATAATAATTTCCAAAGTGAATCCAGACTCTTTCCGTTTAAATTGCATAGTCATACTGTAATGTTTGGGGCAGTTTGTGATGTTTTCAGAATTCGTGTGGTTTCTAAAACACTTTGACTTTTGGAAGTGAGATTTTGTTTTATTTACAGGCGCCTGGAATCTGGTGACTGCAGCAAAAACGACACTTTATTTTTCGGCCGAAATCTGCAAGTCTTTTCTCTTTAGCGGAGCACGAAAGGTTGACTGGCCTGGACTTTGGGAATTGTCCGAGGGACACGCTGCCTTTTCCCTGGCTTTGGAAGATCGCCATTCGTTAGTATGATGTCATACCTCAAGCAGGCTCCGTACGGGATGAACGGTCTCGGGCTGAGTGGCCCTGGGATGGAGTTACTCCATCACTCGGTGGGATATCCCGGTAAGGGGCCGAACGACCGTGCACGCTGTCCCAAACTAACTTTAGTTTTTAAAACAAAATAAACAAACCTGCACGGCGGATGTTTTGTTGAAAGGTGGTTTTGTAGTGGGATTGTGAGATATTTCCGAAATGACCAATTTGTTTTGTTTTGTAACCACTTTGTAGCGACCCCGCGCAAACAGCGGAGAGAGCGCACCACATTCACCCGCTCCCAGCTCGATGTGTTGGAGTCTCTGTTCGCAAAAACTCGTTACCCTGACATCTTCATGAGAGAGGAAGTGGCGTTAAAAATTAATCTTCCCGAATCCAGAGTGCAGGTGGGTCCCAGTCTGGTATCCCTCACTTCAACCACAGCGCGTGCACACAACAACTTAATTCCTCCCTTTTTTGTTTTTTAAACAACTGCCTGAGACGGAGAAGGTGGTTTCTCAACGAAACTGTTTCACACAGGTTATCTTTGGGCAAATTAGTTTAAAATTTTGCGGAACGCGAAAATGCCGAGTGGCTTGGAAAGTGTTGGGAACAGGGGCAAAATACCTTAAGTTAGGTTTGGGGGTGACTGTTTATTAGTAAAATCAGTGAAAATTCTGTAAAATTGAGGGAAATGTGTAAATACACATTCTGTAACAGTATTTTAAGTTTTCTGTAAACCCAGACGCAGTTTCGTGTTTCGAAGCGATGATAAAATCCTGGTGCTTTAAACTTCCAGGATCTCCCCAGTGGAGATGACTCCGGACGGATCTCCGGCTAATTTCTAGAAGCAGCTGACGATAGAATTGTCCACATTCTGTTTGGCTTTTACTGTTTACTGAAAGCTCCGTCCTCCCGAATATAATCAGCAAAACTTTGGGTTTGTTTCCGTTGAGAGAATGGAATCGGTTTGTAGTCTACGATCTCAATCTTTTTCTCCTGACACCCCACTCCACTTTCTTTGAGCTGATTTCAATAACTCTCTGCCTCCCGTTATTAAACTGCGCAAGGTTGCAATGTCAGTTTTCAATGATTGAAATCAATGGATTAAAATGAGTCCGCTGCGCTTTTTTTTTTTGCTTAAAAACGGAGCAATTATCAGTCAGTCCCTCTCAAAAATCACTTTATACTACTGTTTTAAAAAGCCATCCATATCAGCGATTGGTGAAGCTGTAATTGGGTTTTTAAGTTTACATATTTTTAAAGTTTGTTTTTGCACAAGGATGGAGCGATTGGAAGATCTTTGAAAATGTTGCGATTTTTGAACGTGGAGATTCTTTTTAAAACTCACGCAGTTTCCTTCCATCGCCTTTGTAATAAATTGGGGGTGAGACACTTGTACATTGGCGGGGACTTGCTGCTTTAACGGGAGTGAGAGAGCCTTTCCTCCCGGGGGTGGGGTGGGATAGGGGGCAACCTGCAGGGTATTGCGGGGGGGGTGGTGTTTGAGGCCGTTCCCGTTCTGACTGAGCTTTCTCCCCTGTGCTTCCCCCGGCTCTGCCTCTAGGTTTGGTTTAAGAACCGCCGAGCTAAATGCCGCCAGCAACAGCAGAACGGGGGCGGCGGCGGCAGCAAGGCCAGGCCGCCCAAGAAGAAGTGTTCCCCGGGCCGGGAGAGCAGCGGCTCAGACAGCAGCGGGCAGTTCACGCCGCCAGCCGCCTCCAGCTCCTCGGGCAGCGGCCCCAGCACCAACTCGAACCCGGCCTCGGTGCTCAGCACTCCGGCGGCGGCAGCGTCCATCTGGAGCCCGGCGTCAATCTCCCCGGGGGCGGCGGGCCCTGAAGCTCTGAGCGCCGCCGGCGCCTCGTGTATGCAGCGCTGTCCGTCCGGCTCGGGCAGTGCCTACCCGCTGGCGTACGGCCAGGGCAGCGGCTACAGCGGGGCCTATCCCGCCTCATCTTCCTACTTCAGCGGCGTGGATTGCAGCTCGTACCTGGCACCCATGCACTCCCACCACCCTCCCCACCCTCACCACCAACTCTCTGCCCATAGTACCACTGCGCTCAGCCCAATGAGCAGCTCCCCAATGCCAGGGCACCACCTCAGTCAGAGCCCAGCTCACCAGGGCTACAGCGGGCCAGGACTGGCGTTCAACTCCGCCGACTGTCTGGATTATAAAGAGCAAGCAACATCTTGGAAACTCAACTTCAACACCAGTGACTGTTTGGATTATAAAGAGCAGGCTCCCTCCTGGAAGTTCCAAGTTTTGTGAAACTCGGTTTAACGCTCCAGATTTGGAGCCTTTTAATCATTCTCCAACCCCATTTTCTGAACTTGTTGCTTCTCTGTTCTGATTTGACGGAGAGAACAGGCTGGGACTTCACGTTGTTAACTGTTTGCTGGGTTCATTTCCATTTTTCCGTCTCTTTTAGGTGTTGACAATCAAAGCTGGTGTCTGTTTTAATTGGATTATGCTGAGTGTAGGTGTTTGAGACAGAACCAATCTCATTGTCATGCCCTAGGATGCAACATTACTGTACAACACAAACCTGCTAAAACCTTTCAATAAAGTGTATTGAACGAAATATACGGGGAGCTGTTACTGCACGGTCTTTCCTGTGGGAAAGTGGTTTCATTTCGCGGCTGGAAACGGGCAACAGTCATCCCCTTTGACCGTTACCGTTTTATTTTAACGAATTGAATTCGTTCAAATTCTCCTCCTTTTCGGAGAGAAACAAAATCCGAATTCAACCCGGGTTCGTGTCCCTTTTCTTTTAAAACCAAGTGAAAGCCAAAGTCCCAGGGCCCCTGAATGATGTTTGCCCGATGTTGGACTCTGGTTGTGGGATTAAGGGGGTGGGGGAAGCATATTTTGTGTAATTGGTGCCGCTGATTTTTGTTGCTAATTGAAGTTTATTTTGCGGATGAAATCGTTCCTTAGTGCAGTGTCTGACAGTCTAAGGACCGGCGGTTCTGTCGGAGCGTTAATAATTTCCAGGGGACAGTGGTACGGCCCACGTAGTCTTCCTTCGTCCAATGGTTACTTTGAGGCTAATCCCAAAATCTATCACACTTACTTTGCCTTGTTCGCGTTTTCCAGAACTTTAACAACTGCAAAGTACCTTTTTTTTCCCCCCCCTTTTTTTTTTGCGATTTTAATAAAGATCAATGCCTTCTGGCTTTTTAGAGCGTGCCGCCGTCCTTTTACGGATTCGTTATGTTAACAAAGTAACTTAACTAAAACAGAACAGAAACTAAAATTCGAACAGCTTCCAGCTGGAATCAGGTTTGTATCAAGTTGTAACCAGAATGTTTTGGTAATTTAATGTAGTAGTTTAAAAGCATTTGTCTGAAAACATTTTTTCTGACTTTTCGGACTTCCGTAGAAATAAAACAACGAATTGAAAACGATACATTGAAGATGCAAAGAAGCCGCTAGATGACGTTTCCAACAGGGTCAAATACATTTCCAAATCAAAGGATTGGCAGTGTTTCTGAAGAAGTCATTCGATCTGAAACTAACTGTTTTCTCTCCAAAAATGCATGCAGAGCCGCTGAGTTTCTCCAATTTGATTTTGTTTCTTTCAGATCTCCAGCCTTCGCGGTTCTGTTCTGTTTATTACACATTCTCTCCTCAATAAGCAAGGAACGCTGTTAACACCGTCTCGAGTCTAACTAACAAATATTTTACGATTTAAGTTTAAGGACACCGATGTTAAATTTAATCATTTAAAAAAAAATAACCTGGACGTGATCAGCAAAATGGAAGGAGATGGAGGTACCAACACCTAATTGGAGTTAAAATTACATACCAAGTCCGTTTTAGACCATGTGTTTAAACCTGTTTTACGCCTTCACTTCCTCCACACGGGTTCATCCGTGTTAATCGGGAAATATGACACGAAATTTGTTAAGTGAATGTTTGAGCAAATTTAAATTTGACTTGGTTTTGTCACTAGACTTTACAGAAAATCACGGAAGGAGCAGGAAAATGTACATTTCCGGAGTTGAAATGAAAGTTTGTTTGTGCCCTTATTCCCAGATCAGTAAATTGCTGAGATGTCTTCAGTTTTTTTAAGACTAAGAATATTTTGTGTAAAGAAACAGTATGTGGAACAATCTATCCATTTGTGTAATGGATACATCTGAATTATTTCAATCTGTTTTAAATATAGGAATCGTTATTTGAAATACGAGCTTTTTTCTTTGAGATGCTTTGATTTTTATTTTGGCCAATGTTCTATTTCTTTCCCTCAATCTCCCTAGTGTGAAGAGTTGATTTTTGGATAAGATACATCTGATTTGTAGATGGGGATTAAATTATAGAGTAAGCAGAAGTGCCAAGACTCCACCCACATTACAATTAACAAATGTTCTGGCGTTCAGCAGTACAGTGTACAAAATCTCCAGTTACCTGTGATTCCAACTTTTTGATGTTGCACAAATAATTTTGGAAATGCCTCCATCCTTCAAACTGATTCTAATGCTGCAGCATACATTCCTCTTAAGTCTAGTTAGAAAACCAGAGTGGACTTTGGTTTTGGCAGTGGCATTAATCATTTAAACTAAACTTGTGCTTCACCTGAAGATTCCGAGCCTTCTGTGTAAAAGATTTCAAGAGTAAATGTTTTGAAGTGTTTTCTTCTTCACTTCCCGCTCTAGCATTCAATACACAGTCACTGTCTGAATTAGGACAATTCATTCACTACTGTTATTCTCAAGATAACAGGAAAATATCAAGTGATTTATGTTGATGGGTCAACTTTGATCAGGACAATAGTTTGAACATTGCAAATATGTTTTTTTAAATGCTTGCAAATTCAAATTTTTGAAGAGGAACATGTGAAATAAGGAGCAGTGGAAGGAGGCTGTCTGTTGCTCTGTTTCTGCCTTCTCAATTTCTTAAGCAAACTCAGAATCTATTTGCTTCTGCTTTAAATATCTTTAAAGACTCCACTTGCACTGCCTTTTGAGGGAATTCCAAAGACTCAAATTTTTTGTCTTTTCTCACATGGATGATCTCTTAACTATTTTAATCAGTGACCTCTAGTTCTAGATTCTCCCATAGAGGGAATGTTCCCTCTTGTGTTTATACTGTCAATGTCCCTTGGATTTATGTTTCAAAGTTCTCTTTTTCTCAAACTCCATCAGATAAAACCTAGTCTGTCCATCCTTGTCTCAAAGGCAACCGGTCTATCCTAGGTATTAGTCTTATCTGAACTCTTTCCGGCATATTTACATTCTCATTTAAAGGAAACCAATGTTAAACCACATCTGATAGACTTTATACAATGTCCTGTATAACTGAAGCATAACCTCCCTACCTCCTGAATTCCATTCCCTCTGATCTATTTACTTCCCTTGCTATACCTACATCCTGATCTTTTAGGGTGCAAGGTCTCATGCCTTTGCATCCAAACTCTGCAATCTTTCACTGTTTAGATAATGTGCTTTCTTCTTGCCAAAATGGGCAATTTTCCCATATTATACACTACTTGCTAGATTTTTGCCCACTCTATCTCTCTCTCCTTTTTTTTGTAGCTTCCTTATGTACCTTTTCATAACTTGCCTTCCTATTTATCTTCTGGCAAATTTAATGGCAGTATCATTTTCAGTGTCCTGAAGCATTTTTTCCAATGCTATAAAATGGGTTAAAGTTTCTGAACTTGGAAGACATTCTCAATTTCCAGGGACTAACTTCACTGAAATATTTAATGCATGTTACGCTCAAAAGCAAATTTTGTTTTAACATGGTATTTTGGAGAAGCATTTCTAACACTGAAGTATCACTGAGCTACATAGGATGACTAGAAGCTGAAGGAAAATGAGCTGAAAGGGGACCTCGAGTTTGGAGTCTAAGCAACAGAGGGCATAGCCGTGCATGGAGTGATGGAAATCGGGTGCTCAAGACTGGAATTGGAGTGCTTATGTCTTGTCTTAAGGGGCTGAGAGTGGTGAGACCAGGGGTAGACCTATATAATGATAAGAAATTTAAAGTCAAGATATTGCTCAATGGAGCGTTTAGTCAGGAGACACTGCAGTGATGGCAATGGGAATGGAATTTCTAGAGTTTAGATCTAGATCCAAATCCCTGCTCCTGTATGACTTTAGTTTAAAGGGCAGGCTGATGAAACGGAATAGGTGCATGTCTCTGGGCTTGAATTTACCAACAATAAAGATCCAGACAGGTTTCAGCAGAAGGTGGACAGAGACTGCCTGAAGTCAGGGGAATGTTAGAGGTTGAAATAGGTACCTTTTGTAGTGGTACACATGAAGTTGGAAACTCTCCTTGAAGCAAATGAGACACAAATCGCAAACAAACTGGTTATATCTTGGATCGTTGCTGGGGAGGGGAATGAATGAATAGCTAGAGAACGCAGCTTAAAATGAGGATTGCAAACAATGGCTTTCGTGTTCCTAATTTAATTGAAATCTTTTGTTCATCCAGCACTTGATGCTGAATAGTTTGATAATTTAGCAACAACTGGAGGAGAAAATGTTGAACTGGGTGTCTATCTTTGAATGAGGGCTAATTGTGCCTCCAGATATCACCAAGTGGTATTGTGCATATAAAAATGGGGTCAAGCCCCACATGGGGATATGGGAGGCTACAGTGCAGGAGTAGGAAGAGAATCCAGTGCAAGTGACATTTCCTGCCTATGGAACCAGGTGAAAGTCTTGTGCTAAATGCTGGTAGAGAGGGAATAGGAAGAATGATATGGTCACTGTCAAAGGCCACAGATAGGACAAGGAAGCAAAGGTGACTTTATTGCAGTTTCAGGGCATTGTTTGTGAATTCAGCTGTTCTGGTACCACAGCATGTGCTGTGCCTTGATAGACGGATTCTAGCTTTGTATTCAGGGCAAGTTGGGAAGAGATTTAAAAGGTGATAACTTCTTCAAGGACTTTGAAAAGAGAAGAAAGATTGGGTATGGGACTGGCTGGTAGAGGTCATTGGTTGTTTTTTTGAATCGAGAGTAATGGCAGTTTTACGAGGACCAACCTGAAAGTGGATACCACCTTTACAATAATATCTGGCTAACATCAATGTGAACTCAGGAGCAGTTCAACCAGTATATCAATACTGTTTGATTTGTGTGCCGGTAGTTTTGAAGTACTGAACTTGTTAGAACATAGTGAATAGAATGAAATGAAAAGTCATCAAAATCATTCACCCTTAAGTTGTCCTGCACATTGGTTTGCTTCACAAGGTTTTAAATAGTCTGTTTGGGCACAGTGCTGTTGTACAGGATGAAGAAATGCCATGCCTTTTTAATGAGTAGAGGTAGTATTGTTTTGCCAGTTTGCTCTAACAAGCCAGTTCCATATCCTATTTGAGCAAAGCTTGGAGCAAGATATTTGTAACAACTTAATTCCTGACTGCAATTGGTAAGACATGAAGCATTTGCGCTGTTTTTTTTAGATGTGTAGAAACCTTTGGACAAAGTACACATTGTCCAATCATTTGATTTTTGTAGATTGAACTTAAAGTAGTGGGATCAAATGGGTGATTGAGTTTGTCATTATCTGTACCTGTAGGCTTAGCATTCACCTGAATTGTGGTTCATGACTCAGTTTTTTTTTG